TTATTGCATTGAAGAGAAGTCCGTTTCCATTTCAAAATGCTGTCGTCCGTTATGGATACATAAGCTTGACATCTTGGGGAAACTGAATTTATAACTCTCCGAATTTCATCTTCATCCTACTTTAGTTCAGTAAACACAATTATACAGTTCGATCGTTTAATACGGGGACACCCTATATAGGAAAGCTACTTCACATATATGTATAATTTCGTTCTAAATATGTAAGTCGTTTTCAGATTTTTGTTATCATACGAACAAATGCTTGCTCTTTACATGATAATGTTTGCATAAAAATCCGCAGTCTTATATCGTTTCATTTATAGAAGAAAGAGCATACAAATTATTATCAATTATCGGAAAAGAAAATATCGTCTTACTTCATCAAAGGATTTTCAAGCCATTGTTGATATGTTTTCTCAGCATAGGATATACAACTCTTGACTCCAGCTTCGCAGGCCCATCTCATTGCGTTTATTCTGAGCATTTTGTCGAGATCGCTGTCATTCGCCTTCGGTTCATAACCAATCTCCTTCGTCAAAGTCTTCGTCAGGTGTGCCACGTAACGCTGCAAATTTCAGTATTTCATACATTCTAGAGTTGTTATCCTTATATTGTATCATAATCTGTGTTAAAAACGTATAAATCATCTTATGGGGTTCCATAGATAAATGAGAAAATATATCACATGTAGATACAAATCAAATAAAAACATTTGGTTGTGTTGCTTATGCTACAGTAGTAAAGAAGTTCGATACAAAGTTTGCCGCACAAGCTTTAATACTTTTATTCACGGATAAACTTAAAAAGCCACTCTACTCTCATAAAATCAGGATTAAAATCGCTTATTTTTCCCTTATACATCATAAGCGGGACGAGAAGTCTTTATGCAAAATAATGAGCGACTTTACTTCTTTGTTGCATAATGTACTATTATTGATTGGGTACACAAGAACTGGATATTTATTGTATCATCCCGAAAGTAAGAAAATATATGAAAGTAGAAACATCAAATTTATCGAACGCTTAATATTTAGTAATGTGTTCTTAAATAAAGGTACTGAAAACGAGACATTCGAAATCGAGCATAAAGATGACAAACGAGAAGGAACCAGAAAACTTTAAAACTGAGGGAGTAGAAAATAATGAATAATAAACTACATAAAGAATGCAAGGAAACTGTTCGTTTGTTATTATGAATAGAAATTAATACACTTACCATTAATCGTTATTCAAGTGGAATAGATGGGAAAAAGAGGAATATAATAAGATAATTAAAAAACTATAAAGTCGCAGCGAACATTGAATTTAACACTATTTCTACCAAGTGATGTTAAAAGACACCTTTTTAAATTTTCGCCTAAAATTATTATCATTAGTTTAATCATCCTTCGATTTAATTAATTAACGTTAAAAACCAGTAAGCAACACAACCAGTAGCAAAAGTTGAAAACTGAATTGAGGAAAAAGGTATTAAGCTAATAATAATAATTTTAAGCAGAAATTTCGTAAGGTGTCTTTTGACACCAGTAGAAATAGTGTTATATGAATTGCAAGAACAGTACAGATTGGACTTAGCCTTCATCCAAGGAAGATGGATTACGGTCAATGGGTCATCCTGCCACTTTTTGCCACTCGCAGGTCACTGTCGCTTTTCACTGTCACTTTTCAGTCCACAATTTTCCGGCCATCTGCTTTACCTGTCAGCGGCAAGGATCGGCAAGTTGACCTACTGACCGTGACCCATCATCCTCGGAGCAGGTGCATTTGCGGATGAATGGGAAAGTCCAATCTGTATTGTTTTTGCAGTTCTTTTAAATTCAAGGTGCGCTGTGACTTCTTAATTTCTCATTTATCTTATTAAATTCCTCTTTTCCTCGTTCATTCCATTTGAATAGCGATTAAGTGTATTAATTTTTATTCATAATAAAGAACGAGCAATTTCCTTGCATTGTTATTTATGTAGTTTGTTATTCGTTATTTTCTTAAAACACTTCGTACTGAGCGGAGCATTTGCTCCCCTGGCTATGGCCGGACGTCACGATTCGAGCTAAGACGTCCGTCACTGAGCGCAGGTGGATCGCGCGCTCTCATTAGTGAGTGTTTTTCGCTTATAATTCAAAAACCAAGCTCCATTTTACATTTTGCTAAAGGAAATTGTTGTTCAGAATGACTGTCCCATTCTGCCATTTCCAGCTCTAACAATTTTTACGGAACACCCTCTACATTACTGCACACTGTATTACTTTAAATTATTCAAAATTCCCAGAAATGTATAAACAATCGCAATCTAATAATAAGTCACTCTCGCAAAGGCTTTGCGTTTATCGAACTAACACATTAAATGCCATTTTGCATCTTTGATTTTTTATTTGAAGTTCTTACCATGAAAATGTAATATTTGTTGGAAGTGCGTAACAAATTCCGCAGGAAGCCCAAGTGCCTGAGCGCCGGTTGCCAGGGCATATAATCGGCCTCGTTTGTTAAGTAGAGGGCCACCTTTAAAGCGATCGTGTAGTTCAAACTGTCAACATGAGCTAAGTTGAACACATCGTCGATCATCTGCACACGATTCAGCACGTGTATTTTGGTGTCGTTCCCCTTGTTCAACTCTTTTATCAACAGTTCCCAATTTTCTACATCATAGTTCACACGGTAGTAACCTGACACAGCATACAAAATTCCGTTCATTATATCTGCTATTTTCTGCCCTTCGAAAATACCGGTTTTCCGATTCTTATTGATCTATTTTATGCATGGATCAGTGAGCAGTTGAGAATAGTAAAAAGAAACGTGAATATACGCGTTATATTAATCTAGTAATTCTATTAAGTTGCTAATGGCCAATTACATAAGATAAATATAACCATCCAACACACAATTTGTTTGCAATATCCACTACGTGATTCTTATACAGTTCTTCATATCAAAAACGAATCCGAAATGCTATATCACGTTCCATTTTTGAAAAATAATGGTTCCTGTAAAACTGCATGATTTTCGGGAAAATGAGATATTAAGTGGAAAATAATGATAAGAGAAAGTCGTGAAAATAATAAGTTTTAGTCGAGAGATAGAGGAGACTTTCCATAATACTGGATGAGTCTCGTAACATGACGACTTCGAATAATTCGTAAGGTATTTGTTATACGATAAAGATGTTTAGACAATTGTTGCAAAGCTTCTAGAGGAACATGCAGTGCTGTAATCTGTTTTTTGCTTCTTTTATTCTTCATTGAGATATAAGGGGTATCTACAGTTAATTATATGTATAGAATGCCCAATATCTTTTCTCGAATTTCAATAAAGTACCAAATTCTGACGAAATAAGTATGAGTAGTATAAGAAACTGAGCACGTCAAATGTTTTCTATTAAAAGATTGTTAATTTGAGAATATTTCAGTAATTATTCATTTTAGTCCTCATTGGTATCATACTTTTTTACTCAAAATTTAATCACAATATGCTGACATTTATTAATATGAGCGTTATAAGATAGATAATTTTATGTCCAAAAGAGATTGTTTTGAACGATATCAAATTTACAGGAAGCCAGACTGAACTGTCGTCTTTTCAAGAAGGTACATGATGACCAAAAAATCTTCTCATGTAAAGGCAAGAAGTGTAGTAAATTTCTTTATTCGATATCGTAAACAGAACAATTCTGCTTCTGAATCTGCTTTTGGCATGAGAGACTCTACAAGAATCACGTAGTGGATATTGCAAGAAATGACTGATGTCGTCGGACTGTGTAATTGTTCAATTCTTATATTAGAACTCTTAAGTATACAATTAAAAATTAAATTTCAACATTTAATTATTCATATCGAACGTTCTATAAAACTATGCAACGTACCTGTTTGCTGCGTGTTGAGTATGTGATGTATCGTTCGGAGAGAACCAATCGACGATAGCCGTGTTAGTGAAATTGGGATTCGATTCCTCGACATAATTGATTGGTATCCACCACTTGGTAGGGTATTTTTGGTTTTCTCCCAACGCGATCACAAGACGTTCCTGTGTTAGTTGATAGTTCCCATGTACTCTCTTAACTGTCACCGTCGGATATCCCGGACATTCCACCCAATTATGCATTAAAACTTGCATGGGCTGTTTCCATTCAATCCCACTCTCGTTCAAGGCTTTCTGGAAGGATTCGAATAAGTCGTTCGAATCCGCATTACCTAACGCGCTACAACAGTTATTATTTATTAGTGTGAAACAGTAAAGAAAAGAATGTAGAAATTAAAAAATGACAGATACGAGTGGAAAAACTTTGAATAGGTATTACAAAGAATTGTTTAATTATCGTTCAGAGGTATTTGGTTCGAGAAGAAAGTTCGTTCCGATTTCAAAAGCTGCGATATCATATACATTCATTGATTTATTGAATTATATATTTGTTATTTTGTTCCACACTTTTTCATACAAATTGTACACTCCACCCCTAAGAATAGTACAAAATATGCAGTTGGGCCATTCAATACTACGTAACTTTTCAGATAATCAAGATAAAATTCGTTTTAATGTTGAGTTTCAAGTAAATTGAAGGATACTTTGCTTCTTATTTTATACGAAACAATCAATCTTTGAAATGAAATTGGTTAAAATTCAAAATGATAGTAACTACGATTTCTGTATCACATTATAACAGCTAATTCATTAAATATCGGCATAATCTCAGTGAATAATGAATTCTTTTTTAAAAATGCCTGAGATATCACCTTTTAGAATGTATATACCTGCCATTTGTTATCAATTATTCTGATATACTCGCTTATCTCTTAATTTACCTATCCAAAATCAGAACTAACTTTCCGGACAATCCAATATTTGTTTTTTCATTTTATTTTAATGAAGATTGTTTTATACGGTAATGAAGATGTACGTACTGGCTTGTCAGATAGATTTTCACGCCCTTGTGGAAAACCTCTTCCGTCATGGCGTGAGATATCATTCGAATAATAGAACTTGCTGCAAATCGTACAAATAATTATTTGTATTTACTATCGAAGTAAGTAGAATGCAACGTGGAAAGTATTTGTTGAAAATTAACAGCAAGGAATTAATAGAACTCATAATAAAGCATGTGCAAGTGGATGCTATTTATACTAATATTCGCAAAGCTTTTGACACAGCTACTCCGTGCTGCTTTCTAAATTGTATGCACATTCTATGAAAGTTTATTAGCGAGGACAACTAATGAAATGTAATAATATCAACTCAAGACCTACTGATGTTAAATCTAGGATCCCTCATGATTCTCAAATTGGACTCCTAATTCTTATATGTATATTTACATTAATCCGAAGTCTTCCATTTTAATTTCGCTATTTGCAGATGATCTAAAATGACTTCAACAGACTTCAGGATTAGACTATAGCTAAATATGTATAGCTAAATGAACACGTTTGTTTCAATCGATCAATTAAGATTGTATGAGCAACAAAATCTATGCTAAAAGCTTATGAAATGTAAGAAAAAGCTATGCTCAATACTCGAACTGATAAACACACACTTTTAGAAAGAATCATATTTATAGCCAATGTTTATAAAATTATTCGACATTTTTCTTCAAGTCATAGGCAATTTGCAATGTTATTTCTAACATTCTGATATATAGTTGTGTACGTATAATTTCAGTCTCGTTGAATCTAAATTAAGCACACTTGGAGTCCGAAGGACAGCCTTAAATATCTTTTTTGTTAACAAGTAGTCAGCGATCTTTATACATTTAGGGTATTTACGGGGAGTATAACAAATTGTTTCAATGTCCAACGATACATAAAATATCGAAAATGAAATATATATTATAATTTTTAAACGGTTGGGAATAGAAGAAAATATTATGAGAGAAAATTAAATAGTATCAGACGCTGTATAATATGTAACTAATTTTATGCACTTTTGAACATCGGTGCATCAGAAAAATGCAACTACACTTTTCTTTTTAAATGGAAACCTATATTTTTAACTGCATCAGTCTATGCAGTTTCTTGTGTTTCTCTCTACAAAAAGGTATTAATATACTTATGTCCTAAACTTATTTGTTTAGAAATTATCGAAGCTTCAAGTTCTCTGAATAATTTCGGTCTCTCGGCAAGTTTTCCGGAGTTAATAATAAATTATCATCATATAACATATTATAACAGTAAGTATCAATCATTTATCATAATTGTTAATCCATAGACTTTTAATGTTTAATAATTCATACGTTACTAGAAAGGAATGCTATCTAACTTTTCGCTCGTCAAGCCCGCTTATCTTTAATCTGGCGGTATTTAGAACGTTTTAACAGTTCAACTGAACGATGAGACCAGATAACGTGTCTCGCTAATGAATAAAAAGAAAACCCGTTGCAAATTTAATACCTATCGGTGTCTGCTCTCATATTTTTGTTTATCTGATGTTGAACTAAAATCATCGCGACTGCGTTTACCGTTTAAAATGTGTTTGCTTCTTTTTCATGTATCTAATCAAGATTCAAATGACGTCTTTTATTTCTTTTCTTTACCTTTGTCGTAGACCATGGGGGTGTAGCTTTCAGCGACATCTTCAGGGGTAATTACGTCCTTATTTAAGGGACGTGCCTCCGGAACCCCATCCATAACCATCGCGTTCTCTTGCATGCTCTCCACGACGAACATATCGTCCAATCGGAATTCAGGTGCTATCTGAATTTCATCATTAGTTGTCGTATTGAAAATAATATCTAGACTTCGTAGGTAGTAATGACTGTAAATATTTGATTCTTACAACTAGTTCTTTAAACAATGCTATAGTAAATGATCAAATTTCTGTTCACGTCATTTTTTACTCACTGGTTTGTTTTTCTATAATTTTGTATATAATTTTAAGGTAGTAAGCTGAAATTGTGACGTGATCAGAAATTGGGACTCCACTATTAAGTAATTTTGAATCGATGCAGTTCATCATTGTTAATAAATATAAACTGAAATTAAGGTAAATGTTACAATTTTTGTTCGGGTCTCAATGTTTACTCATTTGCTTAGTTTTCTATCATGTTGTGGCGTCTGGCAACGGCCACGTATTGTTTTAGTTTAGTTTAGGCTGTCGTTTCTCTGTCTGGTTTTGGATGCTAACTCTTATCTCTGCTCATTATCCTCATTCGCTGTCCTCGAACGTGATCACGTACACGTTTCTATTCCTTTTTTTCCTCAACGCTCTTTATCTTTTCTACGACTATCTTTTTTTTCTTTCACCCTGCTAATGCTGTCGACTTCTCGATCTCACCAGTTGTGATCGGGCAAAGGCCGCTATTCAGAATCGTTGCTAAGCATTTGATTAAGTCCGTGTTTCCTATACATGACGGGGAGTGGAAATATGAAATAGATAGGGAAAGCAAATGTTTAAGACGATCTTAAAAATAAGTAACGATTCTGAATGCCGGCCAAAGAGTCGAGATATTTCGTACTGTATATTGCCGAACGTTCGTATTAAGTACTCATCAAACGTATTACCACAGGGAGTCACTTATTTTCTGTATAATGCACGCATGATCCCACATTGTTAAATTCACATGTGAAACTATAGGAAGATACGCATATACATTTTTATGAAGGTACATCCGTAAGTAGAAATTGTGACGTGATCAGAAATTGGGACTGCACTATTAAGTAATTTTGAATCGATGCAGTTCATCATTGTTAATAAATATAAACTGAAATTAAGGTAAATGTTACAATTTTTGTTCGGGTCTCAATGTTTACTCATTTGCTTAGTTTTCTATCATGTTGTGGCGTCTGGCAACGGCCACGTATTGTTTTAGTTTAGTTTAGGCTGTCGTTTCTCTGTCTGGTTTTGGATGCTAACTCTTATCTCTGCTCATTATCCTCATTCGCTGTCCTCGAACGTGATCACGTACACGTTTCTATTCCTTTTTTTCCTCAACGCTCTTTATCTTTTCTACGACTATCTTTTTTTTCTTTCACCCTGCTAATGCTGTCGACTTCTCGATCTCACCAGTTGTGATCGGGCAAAGGCCGCTATTCAGAATCGTTGCTAAGCATTTGATTAAGTCCGTGTTTCCTATACATGACGGGGAGTGGAAATATGAAATAGATAGGGAAAGCAAATGTTTAAGACGATCTTAAAAATAAGTAACGATTCTGAATGCCGGCCAAAGAGTCGAGATATTTCGTACTGTATATTGCCGAACGTTCGTATTAAGTACTCATCAAACGTATTACCACAGGGAGTCACTTATTTTCTGTATAATGCACGCATGATCCCACATTGTTAAATTCACATGTGAAACTATAGGAAGATACGCATATACATTTTTATGAAGGTACATCCGTAAGTAGAAATTGTGACATTCACTGAACTGACTTTTAAAGGTGTCCAACTCAACGGAATTATTGCGTAACAGTGATAACAATCATCGAAGAAATACATAAGGTGTCTTCTTTCAGTTGGACCACTTTTGTCACTTACTGCACATTCCGTACGACCGCCATATTGAGAAATGACTACTTATTGTTTTCGAAAATGAAATCTGATTAAAATGACAAAAGTGCCAAGCTGCGTTATTAAAAGTCGTTAAAACTAGAATAGTCATTCTGAAAAATTGAATATTTCCCATCATCAATTTCCAAAGGATCAAGTGTTGCAAAAAAACTAATGCGATGCTTGTAGCCGAGAAAACGTCAATTTAAAAGTTCGAAATTCTTAAGAGTGCTATAAAATCTTTAAACAAATTTCCAAATTGTAATTTAGACTTTTCAAGTTAAAAAACTAATTTTCATTTTCTATGTTCTTTAACTTTCCTCCTTTTAACGCAAAATACAATTAACAAGTAAGACAATATGGCCGTTACAAGGAAGGGCATGTGACTGGTACTTCCAATCAGCTGTGTAATAACACACCTTATGTATTTCCACCATGAGCAGCTAAATAAACAAATGACACTGTTCCAACATTTATAAATTCCATGTCAAAGCGTATAGTAGTAAAGGTCTGTTTTAAGAAGGATTAGAGTATTATATTTACTTCGGAAGCAAGGAAGTATTGGAAATAGGAGGCGAATCCCTCCTTCACCCAAAGATATTTCCACCATGTCGGGGTGACGAGATTACCGAACCATAGATGACTTAACTCGTGAATGATGATCATGAGTGTGTTTATCTTCGTGCGGGTTAAGGCTGTAGCCTCGTTGTGAAGAACAGCACTTTCTCTGAAATAGAAATTCGAGATCAGAGGTGTTCACTCTCATCGTTAACGACTAGATTCAACGAAGAGTAACCATCATAACATCTACACTCTTTGTGTAAAACAGTATTATAT